GCTGCTGCTGCTGCTGCTGCTGCTGCTTTTTGCTCGTGCTTGCAATCGCGCTCGGTCCAAGTCCGGCAATGTTGGCGTGGGGTTGGAAGCTAGAACGAGCGCAACCTGCGTGCACATCCAATGCACGAGCTGCCGGTCAATTGCAACGGGTCCCCGCCGCCGCCGCCGCCGCCGCCCAGCGCCTCATCTCGCTCTACACTCGACTCTGGATGCGACGACCCACCTGCTCCTGCCATTTAGACGCCGAAGTCGCTGGTCTCACCCGATTCAGCTCCCGATTCATCCAACTTCTCGCACGGCGTTGCGCTCGTATCGTCGCCAGTCAGGGGGTGTAGCGCTGCATGCTCATCCGCACGAGCTTGTTAGGGCACATGCACCTCCAAAGCCGGGTGGCTCGGTCGTTGCGATCCTACAACATTGCAGAGCGCGGGGTGAAGACTGGGGATTGGAGCGACGATCCGTCAAAGCCGACCCGGTTGCCGTTGGTGGGCGAGGATCCTTGGTGCCGGCGGGGTTGGCATGGCTCGGCATGGCCAGGTGAACCCCTTGGATAGAATTGTGGGGCAGCCGTGTGCGGGGAGCAAGAACCGTCAAAACCGACGCGTATGCTGCGCCTCGGTCGGCTTTATTCCCCACCCTCGCACACGCGCAGTTGTCCGAACCTGCCATGCTCCCTCCGACGCACCGCAAACACACCCAGGTTGGCAGGGCGTCCATTTGGCAAGCAGGACCCTTGGTGCGGAGGCAGAGCGTTTGCGAATGGATCGCCCTCGCATTGGTGGCAATCGCAATCGCTAATCGCTCCGCATAGGCTTTTGGGATCGGGATCGACGCTGTCGCCGAGCCATCTTCGGGGGTGCCCGCATGCCTCTCTGCCTTGGATTGCGAGTGGACTCTTGCGCGCCTGGCTGAGTGAGCAGAGCAGCGTGATTCCAAGCCCATCCGCAGTCGCTTTCTATCGTCACGCTTCCCGTGGGTGTGAGATCGTGGTTTGCGCGCACAAGCTGGTCGGATGGGCCGACGTCTTGACCTGATCGAGGCTGAGTTGCTTGATTGCCCCGAGACACTGCTGTGCTGCTGGTATCGCCCAAACCTCTCCTTCCGCACGAGGAGCGTGAGGACGCCCAGTCGGCTCGGCGCCAGGTGGGTGGCAAATGGCTACGTGGCAGCCTCGGCCTTCGAGGTGCCTTGGAGGCATGGCCGTATATCTCGAGAGATTCAGAGGGAGACCGGCTTTGCTTCCTCGACATCAGACTCGCATGCTAGGCTTGGGCATCATCTCGTATTCTCGTCGCTATCGAACAATCGGACTGCGCTAACACGAGCTGCGGTCTGCGGAGCCTCTTTGTCGTTGGCCCAGTGGACTGATAGTCACTAAAAGCCACGTAACCGGATTATCTCGCGCTCGTCACCGGCAGGGTGGTGTGCTCGGTACAAGCACCATTCAGTCATGTATCTGGACGACATGCTGGACCGCAGGCGGAGCCAAGTTTTCGACAGAGACGTCTTGCCTCCTGTGCTCTCGCCCGCGGCCAACGACTACTTTCTGCGCATCCTGGCGTTCCTTTCGGGATTCGTCGCAGCCGTCCTTTCGATCGAGGTGGAAGAGGCTGAAACCAAGCTGCTGGCGCTCGACGTCTCGGGCTGTCTGTTCCTGCACTCCTTTACGGCGCTGGGTCTACTCGGCGGCCCGGCCCCGTTCATGGCCCTCTTGCTTGACAAGGATCCTGGTCCGAAGCCGGTCCATCGCATGTCTCGTGCCACCCGCCGAAAATTCGACCACTGCGTCGAGGTCGCTCGCCGCTACGAGGTGCATCCGGACAGAATGCCCGCGGATCCAGGATTGCCTACCGAGCTCGATATCGTCGATGGCCTCCCTCTGCCGCCTCCCGATCCTTGGTCGCTCAACCGGGTCGAGTACTCGAATGTCATCGAACTGTTCTTTGATGGCGTCAGCGAGAGATTTCATCTAGCCCGCCAGAGTGCCATCCACTGGGTCGGTTCGCCCCCC